AATAGTAAAGTTGGAAGGGACCTTGAAGGTCATCTAGTCCAACCCCCTGCTCAGGCAGGAAACCCTATACCATTTTGGACAAATGGCTGTCCAGTCTCTTCTTAAAAACTTCCAGTGTTGGAGCATTCACCGCTTCTGGAGGCAGGTTGTTCCACTGGTTAATTGTTCTCACTGTCAGGAAATTTCTCCTTAGTTCTAGGTTGCTTCTCTCCTTGATTAGTTTCCACCCATTGCTTCTTGTCCTGCCTTCAGGCGCTTTGGAGAATAGCTTGACTCCCTTTTCTTTATGGCAGCCCCTGAGATATTGGAACACTGCTATCATGTCCCCCCTCGTCCTTCTCTTCATTAAACTAGTAGTTGGTGTTCCAGCCCTACTTTTATGATAACCAAGTACTTTGGGGCTAAAGTACTAGAAACTCATAAAATCCATTTACACACTCTGAAAGCTCGGTGCTTTTCTCTCGTTTAGAAACATACACAATGAAAGTACAGATCAAATGGAGAAGGCGTGTGAGGTTCCCAGAGAGGAGAAAAAAAAATGCTCTTGATTGCCACTTACCGTTTTTTTGAAACTTTGGTTGAAGAAACATCCTTTGGATGATTTGGAGAATATGAGGTAGTCTCGGTACTAGAGGTACAGCCACACATCTTTCCCAACAGTTTGGCTACTACTGTTTACGATCTCTAGGCAACTGAAGGATTGGCAAACAGAAACCCTTTGTGCTGGGAAGGCAGCACAGTCATGGAAATGTTCCCTGGCCATTGGAGTTGTTGCAAATAAATCAGTCTGGAAGGAAGTGCCAGAAATCAAGAGGAACTGTGACACCCAAGACTTACCTCATGCAGAAAGTATCTTTTAAAGTGCACTTTTTGCATATTTCTGAATGCTAATTCAAGATTTTAAAAACAAGAGGAAATGGAATCTACTGCATGACACTCAATATAGCTACTGCCTTTGCATGGCATTTCCTGTCTGGAAATTCATTATATCCTAAACACACTTGCCTGGGAAAAAACCCATTAAATTTAAGGAAGGTTTCCTGCCTGAGCAGGGGGTTGGACTAGATGACCTCCAAGGTCCCTCCCAACTTTATTATTATTATTATTATTATTATTATTATTATTATTATTATTATTATTATTATTATTATTATTATTATTATTATTATTATTGATCATTGCACAGTCAGCCAGATGTTCAGACTGGATTTGGCATTTCTGTCTACCTATCGAGTCCTTACCAAGGACCTGGGATAGGCAGATGTGGATGTTTGATGTTATTACAGATATCGTCGCAGGATGGAAGCAGTTCCTAGTAAGGCCACCTTTTGCAAGTGGTGCTCCAGTTGTTTTGGGATTGCACCCAAGGTGCCTATTACTATTACTACTACTATTACTATTATTATTACTATTACTATTATTATTATTGTTGTGTTGTTGTTGTTTGTTTGTCAGTTTTGACTTTGGGCATTTTCAGAAGTGATTTCCCCATGCCTTCTTCCTGAGAGAGTGGTTGGCCCAAGGTTACCCAGCTAGATTTGTGCCTAAAGGAGAACTAGACTGTCTGCTGGTTTCCACTCTGGTGCCTTAAGTACTACACCAAATTAGCCATCTCAGAGGAATATACAGTGTATATAAAATAAGCCTTGCAGGGTCAGGTTAATGGCTCATCTAATTCAATGTCTTGTCCCTCTTAATAGTCAGCCAGTTGTTTTCAGGAAATCCATACACATGGACAGGCAAGTGATAACTTTATTTTCACTGTTGTATGCCTAGCTGGTTTCCAATCATACAATCCTTTCTTTTTTTTAATACTGCCTACACTGATGGCTTTCACTGCCATTCACTGGATGGCTGCAAATCGCGCAGTTAGACCACGCATTGTGCAAAGAAGAAATTTCTATTATAGATCTGAATCTCCCTGCATTTAGTTTTACATTTAGTTTTATTCATTTTAGTGCTGATCTTTCTACACATCGCCTCCCAAGCTGTAATAGTTCTTAGATTTCTGGTGCCTTTTTAAAGGGAAAGCCTATGGAAAAAAAGACAGTGCATAATTGCAGTGTCGCTGTCAATATGCTTGTAGTCCATGTTCATTACCCCTTCAATAAATACCCAGAAATTATATAGAAATGGAGCTGCTCTCAGCTTGAAAACAAGAGAAAGTTTTGTCATTAAGTGTGAAA